TACACGTCTATAAATGGACACGAGAATGCTACTGCCTCACAATGTTCCGTGGTCCAGTGGTCCCTTACAAAAGCCATCCAAACATGTGCCCATTTCTGCTAAGACACCAAACACCCCATCTCACCAGCCACCCAAATCCACCATCTCCAGCCATGCGTCGTACATGCAGGGGTTCGTGGGCGCCGGCGCCAAGCACGGTTGCAGCTCCAAGCAGCCGCTGAGCTCCAAGGAGCTGGTGCAGGTGGCCTTGACGGAGCGAACGTCGCGCCGACCGGTCACGTGGTGAGGTGAGAAGGGAGGAAGCGACCCAGTCACTGGCGTTTTGAGCTGTTTCACCATGTGTTCACATTAAAGAAAGGCTTGGGCTGAACAAGAAAAAACAATTGGGATGATCTTGGGAGAGTTGAGAGGGGCCAACACCACCCAAAGGGACGTTAAATGACGTTTAACATGACATAGGTGTGGAGTAATGCCGCTTCACACTTCAAGATCAAACATATCATATAGGAAGCAACAAAAACAAACACAAAGGTCAAGGCAAGGAAACTATGATCTCAAAGAATATTGACGTGGCCAGGGGTGACGTTGCTGGTCATTGATCAAGCGAGCAAAGTGTTATTTTGCTGGTATCAGGGGCAAGCGACAGCTGCTGATGTCCAATTTCCCACCAGGTGCAGGGACAATTTTCTGATTTTATTCATGTAATTTTTAGTCAAGCACACACAAACTTCTGGCACAAGATCACAAAACAGTTCACACAAGTCAAGGGCTGAGACCCCCCAAAAAACCTTTTACAACATTTTACAACAAACGTCCCCTAATTAGTGGGGGGTGGAAGTTGACCAGCAAAATACAAAGCTTCTAGATGGAGGAACTCTCACTGATCTCATCGTCCCCTCTTTCGCCTGGTCCAGCAAGCAGCGCCCCACTGCGACACCTGAGTCGACCCAAAGACCACGGGACGACGAGGTTTTGAGGAAAACGTGAGGATCTCTGCACCGGCCATTTTGGGAGTCCTGATGCACTTAGAACTGATGCACTTAGAATGCCCCACCATGTTCATGTCATTTCAGAGGCAGTCAGCGCCTAGCCCCCCCCAAAAAAAAACACACCATCTGCTTGACAATGGGGAAGAACACCAAGCCATCAGGTGTTGAACATCTTTTTGTGTCTTCGATGTTCGTCCCACATGAAATCACCTCGTCACTCGTCACTCCCTGCCGTCCCACACAGCGCCTGCGGCGCGAAGCGCCGGCCTTTCTCTCTTCGGAACGTGTGGCCGAATTGCGTGCGTCTTGGGACCCGGCCCGAACGGCTTGCGCGCGGTGAAACGGACGAAAGAAAAAACCTTCTCCAGACTGGGCGACGTTCGTGCGATGGGCTGGGTCGAGGGGTGGATTAATTAAATGACGACTATACATGTGAGAGATGGAAGGCCTCTGAAGGGATCGAGGGGATGACGATGACGAGGTCGCTTCAGAGGCCTCTGGCTGGCCTCTTCTTATCCTGGCAACATTGGGCATCAGTATCCTGGATGCTTTGAAACAGAGTATCAAAACTGACACCAGACCATCCTCCACCTGGGTCTATAACGGAGTTTGCCTGGCCTGCACAGGAGCTCAACCCGATCATCCAGCCCCCAAGTTGCCAACATGCATCAAACATACTCCGCCCATGGCTGTCCAGCAAGGGTCGAACCACACTAATTAGTGGTTTAGTAAGAAATCCCTTCTAAAACAAAAAAAAGGAGCCAAAAGCACCCTGCAGGGTCTGGTTGAATACGCCTTTTTGAAGACGCATAAAAACATGGAAGTAACAAAACAAATCAACAACCTGCTGCAGCTCAGCTCGAACCCGCTGCATCGCACGACGTGGTGGCTATATGCTCCGGCCATGCTCTGTATAAAAGTGGCGGCCACCCGCGGCTCAGCAGACGCAGGTGCTTCAGCCCATGTCAGGTGGACTGGAGATCTAGGGGAAAAGCACTGGCCACGTCCGATCCTCTGTGTCCGGCAACTGCCTACGTCAATCACGAAGAAAAGAAGTGGCCTACCTAAAGTAGCTATCTTAAGATATCTAAACAGAACGTTTTGTTATTGGACATCGTCAAGTGACATGAGAAATTCCATTTGGAGCAAAGGAAGATTGGCTGATTCCACCCCTTAAGATCTCCACTCCGACCCCTGCGAACTGGCGGACCTCGCGGGTAGTAAGTAAGCCGCTCCAAAGCAGCCGAGAAAACCGTCCGAATCCGGAGAGAAAAGACGTGTCTTTATGTTCTTTCCTAGCGGCGTGCAGCTGAATAACTCTGGCAGTGGCTCAAAAAGGTCCGGCAAAAGGTATGCACTAAATACAACTTATAAAGCTGCATTTTAGTTACATGGAATTGGTTCTCCAATGTTCTCCATGTGCAGTGTTCTAAGAGCTGCATGGAAGTGGTTCTCCAGTGTTCTAAGTCACCAGATCGGAATGTTTGCTGCTGCTACAATCTATGCTCTCTAAACCTCCAAGCCCAAAGGTCTCCTCCCAAAACTATTTGGCCTCCAGGTGGGGGACAGGATCAACCACTTCATGTCATGTCGGCGTGTCTTCATCGTTGTGTCGTTGCACCTTTTTGGGCCAAGGCCAGACCTCAGCTAGATCGCCTCACTGCCCATTTGCACAAGCCTGGCCAATGTGACTATACAGTCGGCTAACGCAGTATATCGTTTATGCTTACAAATGCATTTCTGGTACACCACTCTGAATTACGCACGCTATACGAGCTTTTTTTTTGCCAGATGGACTTTCAGTCCGTGGGTGAAAAAAGCTGGTTGATCGTTTAGTTTAGTGGTGTGTTGTCATCATCCCATGTTTCAAGGAAGTCTAAAACATGAAGAGTTTGAAGAGTCATTCACCGGATGACAGGTGAAGGAGCTTCCGCCAAATTCTCAAGTAAGTGACTCCAAAATCTAAAGTAAATGAATTGATGGATCAAATACTTGTCATAGTCGGTCAACATTTAGTCCGTTCCAAATAGATGTGCGGTTTTTGAACGTTTTTTGGAGTACAAATGTCTGACCCATAGCCCAGTACTACACCTGCAGACTCACGATTTTGTGGAGGACATCTTCCTTTCCATGTGGATCTTGGTGGATCTATTTAGACTGCCAAATTGGATCTAGACTGCCCGGCCTAACCAACTACAGCTATAGGCCAGGGTTTTTGTTCCAACTTAAAATCTGCCTCTTCTACCATTCCCCACTCCACGTTCACCGTGTCCAACCCCGACTCTTCTCCGACTCCGACTCTGCTCGCCTCGCTGCTCGCTCACGAACCGCTCCGCTTCGCCTATCGACTCGACTCCGCGCCTGCGAGGGCCCTGCGGGCTTCCGAGTCCTTCGGAGCCACGAGGGACAAGGCCTCCAAGGCCTTGTCGGCCTGCAGGACTAGCGCAGTCGAGCGCAGGACTCGCAGGACTCGCAGAGTTGTTCTTTGGAGCGAGGAAGCGAGGGTTGTGGGAGGGTTGTGGGAGGGTGGGAGAACGGCGGTTGGGAGGGTGGTGGTCGGTTTTTGGGGCGCTCGTGTTTGGGGAAGGAGGAGATGGGAGGAGATTGAAGCCTTTCTGCTTTGGATGAATGCTTGGATGGGGCAATCCAAAGTGGAGAAGAATCAAAGTTATCATTAGAAGGTCATTGCCCATTGCAAACAATTATGTAGTTGAACACGCAACACCATCGACATTGAACACACCTACAACAACTTCACCATCCCTTCCAGAATGACCCCAGGGTTCCTTGCTTTGACTCAATCGGATCTTTCACCCTTGTTGTCTCCCTCCATCGATCGCTCCGTCCATCCGAGGGGCCATCTTCTCAGCCAACTTATTGGCCTTGGCACCGGCACAGCGAGAGGCGAAGCCAACAGCGAAAGGCCCACTCTTGCACATGGAGCAGGGCAGGTGATGTTCCTTCAAGTATAGGTACCCTCTGCACATGTGGATGGCTTTCATGGTACATGTATTCATCCCAACATTCCACCTACATCGTGGAGGATTCCCGCGATTGAGGCGTCTTTTTGCCACCCCTCAGGTCTCGGAAAGACCTGGACAGAAAAAAGAAGTAGAACAGTGAACCGAGAAATGGCTGTTCCATGTTTAAGTTGGAATGTTCAATTTTTGGAAACTCGTGAACCCTCTTTTTTGGAGGACCTGAGTGTGATTCCATGCTACTTGTATTCCTCTATATATTGTATACATGTCATGTCAAAAAAAAGACATCTCGAACTTGGGAGATTTCCTCTCACCTGACGTCTCCCTCTCTGTCTTGCGCGCTCCCCATGGCATAGCCCAAGCAGCTCGCTCCACGCCACCGCACCTCAGGATCTCCATGCTTGGCGTGGCGGAGCGGCGTGCGGAACATCTGGCGGGTTGCAGCATGTTGGATGTGGAAACTTAGAACGCAAACGTATTCCAAGATGTTAGATCATTGGACTTGACCTTTCAAGGTGTTGCATAATGGACAAGATGTTCTTGGGATTTGTGATTATACATTGATTTTATACATGTTTAATCATGTATATATACCATGTTCTTGGGATTTTTTGGAAACTTGGCAGTTTATACCTGGTGAGACTGTGAACATATTTATATATAATTAGAGAGATAGATTATAGATGCAATTATTATGATTTTTTGCTTTAACAATACCAACTACCAACCTGTCATGTCCTCTCGAAAAAAAGAAGGACTCGCCCAGCAACTATATAGACATTAAACACCCACCCCGACCCCCACCTTCACCGAAGAACCCCCTGGTGACTAAGTCACCCCCCACCCCACTATACAGACTCCCCCACCTTACCACCTCCTTGAACCCTATCCCTCCCCATACCGGAACGACACGACGTGGACCCACGTGGACCGCACCGACCTCACCATCCAACGACCTTCGTCTCGAGGCGCTCTCGGATGATCTCCAGCGCCCGGTCCAGATCGCGAGGACCGGCGAACTGCCTCTGGATCAACCTCGCAAGAACCGTCGGACGCGGCGAGGTCGCGGCAGGGAGGCGAAGCACACGGAGGGCGCTTTCCTTTGGGTGAAGAGGTGGGAGAACTGCAGCTAGAGAGGGGGAGAAGGAAGTCTTGAAAAGTCTTGAAAGTGGAACATGAACTGATGGAAGTCCCTCCTGGAATGTTGCATGGTCTCTTCTGAAGGATCATGATGAGGTTTTTCGTTCAGGTTTTCGAAACTTGGCAGGCGGATCAATCATCCCTTGACTGGCCATGTCTTCTTTGCTGTTGCCTTCGCTCGCAGCATGCAACAAACTTGGTCGTGAAGCAAGGAACTAGCTCATGGTCAGTAGTTTCCCATGGCCTTTGGTAAAGATCAAAGGTCCACGAAGAGTGAAAAAACAATCATCTGGCGCATCTTGCCTGGTCTTCCCCTTCATCCATCCCCGACAGCCCCTGATGAAACCTTCCAGACTCATCCGCCCATCCAGTAGCTCCATCCCATCAAAGAATGGACAGTCCCTTCTATCATCATCACATCCTTCCACTATCTTCTACGTTAGTTGCCCAATCTCATGCTTCACAGGTAAAATAACTTGCAGCTAGGAAACCTCCGCAGCTCCTTGCTCCCGCTAGTGGGTGCCATGCCCAAATCCTCCAGAGTGGACTCAGGTTATAAAAAGCGACTAATACACGCATTGGAGTGTTTGATCTAATGAGAAGCACATTGGTTTGCCGTGAGAGTTTTTTTTATCTGTGTTCCATCCTGGCTGTTCATCAGTTCGCGTTCATGTTTCAGACCTTCTCTCTGTCCGAAAGTACACGTCACATCCACCACCTGAGACATTCTGAGACTACCTCACTTCACAGGAATCTTCCATTGTTTCAACTCCAGTGAACACCTGCATTTAGCGGCCCGATCGCGAGGGGCTTGGAGCTTCCAAACAGGTGAGTTCACGGTCGGCGCGATCGAACCCGATCCCACCGCTTCCGTTCAGTCCGTTCAGTCCGAAGGTTACCGGTTCCGGGCTCCTCGTTGCCGTTCACGCAGAGGATCACCGGAGCCGTCAAATTCCCTTCGCTCAAGTCTTGCCCCACGGGCTTCCCCAGCTCTTCACCTCGACGAGACCGGTGAGACCGGTCCGGGAGAGTGGAGAGTCCGGTGCGAGCAGAAGGGATTGAATGGACAGGGAGAGGAGTTGTTGAGTTGTTGAGTGGTCCTATGATGCAATTGGGGTCATGTAAGGAAAAGAAAACAGTTAACTGCAGTTAACTGCTGCTTAGATGGCTAGGTTTGCTCAAACAGTGCCATTTTTGATCCGCCAACATTGAAAGCTTTTGGTGAACACTTGGATCCCTGGAGTATCCGTGACATACAAATGTTTTGTCTCCTCTATGTCCGGTGAAATGTGGTCTCAACCATCTGCAGAGTCGGCTCGTGGTTGCCCTAGGGAGTCGACAAACTTGTTTTTTTCTTCCCACCGGACCCTTGTTGATTCGTCACCAAATCCTCTACCATGCCCTTCCCCCACCCAGGACATTGAACTTGGTCAACCAGTGGCCACCGGTGAAGTCCAAGACATCGTCGGCGATCTGGAAGGCTAAGCCCAAGTAGAAGCCATAGGTGTAGAGCACATCCTTGGTTGGAGGGCAATCCCACACACATCAGCTTCATCTCAGGCTTCAAGGAAGACAATAAATAAACTTGGAGGCTATCTTCACATCTTAAGCAGCATGGTGAGAAACCTTCCAGTTCTAGTTCACTGTTTACGTAGAGCCGGTGGTTTTATCGCTAGCCAGACCCGATGCAATAGAACCGTTTGAGGCTTCAGGGAGTCCAGTTCTTGCTTTGATGGGTGTTGAATCTCAAATAGTAGGTGTTGAAGCTCCAAGTGTGCAACCCCCAGCTTCAACTGTTCAACTACATAGTGTGGTGATGAGTTTGCTTTTTCCCATGAGAACCTTGAAGGGCCTCACTCCCACTTTGTTATTTTTGGCCCACCTCCATCCATGGCAGCCCCTCCAATCCAGTGAGTGGGCCCATATCGTGATAAACCAAACATCCTGGTAAGTTCAGAGAGATTGACCAAACAACAAATTCACTACTCTGTGAATGCCCCCGAACCTTTAATTGCGTGCTTGTTGTATGCCGTATGATGCCAATCTTCTACACCAAACGGGCTACAGTGAAGGCAATCCCAGAAAGGCACCTCAAGGATATACTCTCCACCATCAATCTCACCAGTGCAACTGCGTCCTTTCTGAGTGGTTCGTTTCATCCTCCCCATGAAACCAATATATCCTTACCAATATCACCCCCACCGTGGAGAGCCGCGAGTCGCCTCACCCCCGTCTGCCCGAGCCGCGCAGACTTCACAGCGAAGGCCCGTGAGGACGGCAGAGGCGCGGCAGGCCGCGGCCAGAAGAGAGGCCGTCTTGTAAAAACTCTTTTTGAGGTAGTTGAAGAGAGTGACCTGGAAAAAAGGTGGACACCCATGTTTAAAAGGTGGAAAGCCCGTGTTTAAAAGGTGGGCCGTCTGGTAGTTGAAAGAAGAGTGACCTGGTTCCCACGGAGCGGCATCGATCGGATCGGTCGGTCACAAAGAAGAGTCAAGGTCCGTTTAACCGCGGTCCTTTGGTCACTGGAAGTTGGCAGCATACTCTGACCGACTGAAAGGAAACATATGGAAGTGAATGGCACCAGCGCACCAGCTGTTTGTATGTGTACTTCATGGTGATCCGAGTCGACTCGGGTGCCATATATGCCTCTACAGCACTTCCGGGACCGACCGTGGTGGCCGGTTGACCGGAACTGGCGACGTCCCCTCAGTTTGGGAGGTGTTTGGTCAAGAGGTAGGTATCCCTTAAATGATCCGTAAGTAAATATGACCTACATTCACCACCACCCAAAAGCACACCAAATGTACTTAATTAGGCTATATGCCATACTTGCAGTCCCAAGAACATCGTCTTTGCGTATCGTCAATGCACAAAGTGAAGATATCTGGAGTTTTGTTGTTCCAAGTCTGCTCTGACCTCAGTGAGCTGAGGAAACTGGAACTTCCTTTAGTGGCACGGCAACATCGTCGAACTGGACTTCTAGACATCTCCGGGTATGTCATGCAGGTATGACCGTATACCCCCTGATATCTCCGGGTATATCCTACACACCCTGGTATATCTAGGAAATGCCTGCATCTTCCAACTATGCAGAATATATGCCTTTCCATTCATGAAACACAGCCAAAAGGATCCAAAAGGCACACGTCGACGTCGCCAAGCAGCATTGGTGTCAAAGCGTTTGGCGCTTTGCGCCAGCTCTCCTTGGTCGAAAGACATCGCTTCCGATCAGCTTTGACCGAAGAGATCGCCGAACATGTTACGTACCTGGAGACGGCCTGTAAGACCTTAGACAATGGGTACATGTTAAGTTAAGTACCTGTTCTTTGCTCAGGTCATGTCCCATTTTCTAGAGTACTTTGGAGGATCCAGGTATACTGTACTTGGAACTTCGTAAAATGTTTGCCGAAATTGGCTGGTTTTACAGATACAGGCCACGACCTGTAAGACAGTTGCAAGATCTGGGTACTCACCCGAAGTACCCCAGCCACAGTCTCAGTCTCAACTCTCTCATCGCAAATCGTCGGTGAACTGTCTCACTGCAGCTGCTGGCTGTTTGGGGTGTTCAGTCGTCGCAGTTCAGCCAGGAGGGAACTGGAGGGAACTGGAGGGAACCAGCAGAGGTGGGTCAGGTCACCCGATTGTTCGACTCTCCTAAGGTCCTAGTGACGGGTACCTCTGGTTGAAACCGGGTCCGAACGTTCAGGTCACTCAACTTCTTGGAGAACGAGAGCGACGGACAAAGCACCGTCCCGAGGCTCCATAGCCAAACTCCTCAATGACCAAAGAGACCTCGGTCGAGGGCGGTGATACCCGGTCTGACCAGGTTCCACCAATAGAGATAGGGACACATCACTGAATCCATGTGGATTATAGAATGTGTATAGCACTTGATCCCTAAAAAAACACATACAGTACCCTCTGAGAAGGTGATTGGAGGTGCCAGGAGGGTCCAGTCACATCCGTTGTACCTTCGGAGAAGGTATGTGGATCCCTACAAAATATTAGCTAGTGGTCGGTCTACATTTTGCCAATCGTATCCAATACGACATGTCGCCAATGTTTAAATCAATTTAAGGTCAAGAGCATACCTGTCAAGAGCCATGTATCAATCCAATTGTATCCATAGCAATACAACAATTCAGGCCTCTCAAAGCAAGGAACCTCAAGCCCATAAAGGAAGGTCAAATAGGGCATAATAATGAATGTGACAAAGAGCTGACGAAAACTGCCACCATGGAGTTTATGCACTGAACTTTCACCTACCCCTCAGTTGCAGCACTGGAAGCCTGTTGGGCCTGTTGGTGGCTCAGCGAGAGTTTGTATGTGTTCTGTCCTTTGCCACCAAGAAAACAAGCAACCGCAAGACCCAACAAGTCCACATACTTCCAGAAGAACGCAACCAAAAAGAGGACAGCACCATTACATGCTGTACTAAATCCCTTGACAGTCAACTTCGACCACCTACCATGCCATTTCACCCAGATGTCAACATGAGACGAATCAGCACCTCAGCACCTCGTCACCTCACATTTCATGTTTCTTCCAGCTCCAACAAACGCTCGCTTCAATGCAGCTCCACAAAATAGACACATGAAAAACAAGCACCAAACAACAGCCGCCCACCCACCCCCCCATCGTCGTCCTACCCCTCGTCGTGTCCACACCCAAGCACGGCTACGTGTTGTTTTTGGTGTGTTGAACACGTCGAGGTGCCAAGCGTGTGACCTCATCGTCCTCCAAGGATTCGATCAACCCCGAGGCCTCGGAGTCTCGAGCCCGCCCAGCCGATGGGGGTGGCCAAGTCGTTGGGGTGTGGCGACCTCCCACGGAGCGGGAACGGCGTCAAAAAGCTTTAACGAACGGAAACGGGAGAAGCTTGGGAGAAGAGGGACAAGAAGCTTGGGATCCATTTTGGAGGGTGAACAGGGAGAAGTGTTGAAACTGGAGATGTGACCAACAGTAGCGGAAGATTGGGTCTCACTGAGACTGATTCTTGATCATAACCCTAGGCTTCCAACAACCATTAATTTAATACAAAAACCAGGTCAACCATTTTTTTAATTTTCTTAGAAGTCTAGGGATAATAAATAGCAGGACAGCCGTGAAAAAGACATGGTGGGTTGAGAGCAGATGGCACAAGTTACCCCAATGAACGGTGGTTTCTGTGGACCCCATCTGTCTAAGACACCTTGTGGAGCCGGTGTAAATGGTTTCTCACCGTGATCACAAGGGGTAGATGATGTTCTTCCGAACGAATGGGAAGTAAAGAGCGTTGCATTGCCCATCAATTCGGTTTCTACCGTAATCGAAGAAACCATGAGATGGAACTGATGGAGCGGGTGATATCTTCGTTTCTGCGCATCCAGTACGTGTTTTCACCCGCCCCTCTCCCCTCCAAGATGCGTGAGCGAACAGGAAGTCGCCACCTTGGAGGAAGCCAAGGAGAAAAGAGATCAACAAAAGCCAGAAGAGAAAACAGGTCTTCGTTTATGTCTTCTGAGAAACAGGTGGAGCGGGGGTGCCTATTGATATTTGGGATAACCTAAGGATCAAGAACTGCTTACCAGGAGAATCCAGGTCTAACTTGTTCATAGCCTACTAGCAGTTCACAAGACAAGCCAATCATAGGGGGTTGGAGCAGTGTACAATTGCGAGATACACCAATCTCTGGCACTGTAATCTGCTTTCCACTTTACCGGTGGTCTGGCTAGGACACACCCACAAATGCTTGTGGATACCCTGGTTTTGGAATCCTTTAAAACCAGCCTACAGGTCCGAGTACAAAAGCAAGCATGGACCACCTGTGATGTGTAAAAGATTGTAAAAGCGTGGTGAACAACACAATAATGCATGGTATACACTGGGAATATTCCTCCTTTCAACAGTCTGAGGAGACTTTGTACCCATGAAGAAAAGTAATGGTATCAAACGAACTTGCTCGGCTTCATAGCCCTCTGATTCGTCCAACTCCAACGGCTTCAGAGTCAGCCACCAACCCAATCCTTGCATGTGCTTAAGGAACTGGGAATTAGTAGATTCAATCCCTAAACCCCAACAACATGTCCAGTCCAGCGGCTCACTTTAAGGGCTCTACGGCTCTACAGTGTCTGTCCATATAATCCCTACAGATCCACATACCCTCCGAGAATGTCATTGCAAACACTGTTATGTATAGGTTTGAAAGGTCCAAGTACCTTCTGAGAAGGTACTTGGATCCATATAGGGAATATAATAAGGCTTAAAACCGGAAAGCCGTTTCCTTCTCCGCCCGAAACAACCGATCGGATCGCACACCGCTTTCGTTCTCGTTCTCGGTCACCTTCGGCCCAGCGCCGAGGGGCTGAGCACCGCCACGTCGGGGCCGAAGATCTGGTGCATCGTCTGCCGCTGGCGCCGCTGATCGGCGTCGTCCAGGATGTCGTCCTGGTTGAGCGGGGGTGGAGCGAGGGGGGGTGGACGGTGTCCGACCGGCTTGGGAGGATGAAAGCGCGGAAGAATTACAGAGATTTGGAGACAAATAGGCGGCAGGAAAGCTATGTACATATATATCCATTGCACATACTGCAATGAAGATAGACCGCGATAAAGTATGATAAAATCAAACAAGAAACACCTGGTACAGCGGATCTCGAATCTGCATCTTCCAATCCAGCGGGGAAAAACATGCCCTTGCCAGCCGCCCAAACATGCCACCATATGCCCCCCAAAAAACAGAACATATCACTCCATGAAACTCCCAAAATTGCCAAACAACCCCCTCAAACTGAGGGCGGATGATTTGCTCGCGCGACCAACACCGCGTCACTGTCTTCTTCCGTGGTTTTGTGGCGCGTTCCGAAAACAACAACGAAGGCCGAAAAAGCGGCCCCATCTGCACCGCCGCTTGAACGCCGAGTGTCATGCACCAAGGAGGCCGTGTGGATGATCTCGATGGACGTGGCCAACGTGATCACCTGCCGCGGAGAGAGGGAAGCGAGTGACGCGAGCGACGGGCAGGACCCGAACAAAGCGGAGCCTGCGGAGAGGTTTGGGTTGTCTGGGCCGGCAGATGCCGGGTATCCTGGTAACAGGTTGACACGAAGCAAACAAAGGAACCAATAATATGTACAAATCAATAAGTGCTGGGATTCCTTTTGGATGACATACTTGGATTTGTTTGAGGCCACAAAGATTGAACAGTTCCAAAGACTTCCAGAACAAAAGAGGTCACGCAGTCTGCTCGGCTCACTCTCCTGTTGAAGCACGACAAGCTTTCTGCACGAGCGCACCACCCTGTTGAAGGTCTCTGGAGAGGTCCAACGCGTGAGTCGGCCCCACAGATCGAGGCAAAGGAAGGGGGGTCGGCTGTCGAAAGAATGAAAAGACATCACTACTCACCTACTTGGCAACACGGGGAATATGGGTCCGTGAATACCCGAACAGAGGTAATTATTATAGAACTGAATTCAGACACCAAGTAAGGTAGGGGTCATTGGTAGGGCCATTGTTTGCTTTGAGTAGGGTGTTCTCGTCCAGGGCTCAACTCGCACCATCAGCGGTGCGTACATTGGGCCCCAGAACCCTCTTTTGGGTTCGATTTTACCGGCGTCTTTACGCGCGTTGCGGATAGCCATAGTGGTTTGCTGCTTGGTGGTGGGGTTGGCAGCGGCGACTTTGCGCTGAATCGCAACTATACCAAGAGAAAAAAGCCCCAGCTGGCACCGGCGCCTACGCTCTCGCAGAGCAAAGGCAAGAGGACTAGTTCGGCAGGCCAAGAAGACAACCCACCTGTCTAAGGACCTTCAAGGACGGCTCGTGAGGGCTCGACGCATTTTGCAGGAGCACCACAGTTTCGTTCGACCCATGGGATGGGGAGGTCAATACAAAGGAGCTCAAGGGAAGCCATGGTGGAGCAAATGGCAGCAGCAAGGGCAGCCGAAAGGCCCGAAGCCCAAAAAGGAAGCGAAGACAGACAAGAGTGCAAAGAAGAACGAAAAGGCAGAGGATGCCTTTCCGGCTTACGAGTCTTTGCAGTCATCCTCGTCTTCCTCTGCAGCCAAGGAATCCAAGGAAGTCCAGGAGATCAAAAAGGAAATGCGAGAATTCCTTGCGGCAAAGGACATCCCGGTGGATCCACACATTGTGGAACTACTACACAGCGACTCCAACACCATGGAAGAGATCAAGTCAGAACAGAGGAGCTTGAATCTCAAAAAGAAGATCATTGGGAGGATCGAAAAGTTGAAACAGAAGGTAGCCGAGAAGAAGGAGGCGTGGAGCATTTTTCTGGATGCAATGGAGGCTCATCGAAAGAAGGAGAAGGAGAAGCACGCTTCAGACTTGCTAGCTCTGGAAGACGCTCTCTCAGAAGCCCAGAAAGAGCTCAACAAAGTTGTGATGAAAGAAACAGATGGAGGAGACAACATGGCAGTCGAGGATGCGGAGAAAGAAGCACTGAAGAGGGAGCTCGAGCGTACTCACGCTATCATGAGAAATCTTCAGCAGCGGGTCGACAGCTATGTTGGGGCAATGGAGATGACAAGGCCGGAAGGAATGGCGAACGACCTTTCGCCTCAGCTGACGCGGCCTCCGCAAACAGCGTTGGTGAGAACTCTCCCAGACGAAGTGGCCGCCAGAGCAGCTCGCGCCAAGTTGTTGACGGCAGCCGAGAAAGCGGTGTTGGAACAAACCATTCCTGTTCCTGTTCGCTCAAGGAGCACATCACGGAGTCCCCGAAGAGAGCCCTCCAACTCTTTGGACAGGCTCGACAGGTGAGAAGCCAAGCTTATAAGCCTCCTTCCGAACATAGTGGAGGCGAGAAGTCCGTTGGGTACGGATCCGATCATGGTTTGATGCAATATGAACTTCTCCCTGAGGGTGCGTTCGGCGCCAATTTTCAAGGGGCGACATGCATTCAAGGGCTGAAGGGGAATCGAACCAGCATTCGGAAGGGTACAGAGGTTTGCCAATTGACTGCAACCGACCTTCATGAGCCAGCTTTCGAGTGGAATAGATTTCCGGAGGGCCGGGTGCCTATCGGAATCGAAAATCTGCCTTGGCTAGATGAGTTCAATGGAACAGTTGCGGAGACATCTTTTCGGGATAGTCGATTGCATCTGAACTTTTTTGCAGGGGTAAGTACATTGTTTTTGTGCGCACTCTGCACGGCATTTGGACGAACATGTCCATTGATGCATTCCTTGCTCAGGGGTCGACCTCTTAGGGGTTTTGATCAAAGAAGCAAGCTCATCCAGTGGATCCTTTTGGGGTATGTTCTACTGGTTGCAATTCAAGTGGTGACGTGCCAAATACTAGTCAGTGGCGGTGTGCATATCCAGCCAGACTACCTTTCGGTGATAATCAGGGTCCAAGCAGAGCTAGCCTTTTTGCTTTTGTTCGTGAGACTTGGGCTGAAGTGGAGGTGTGATAGTATAGGTCCTTGCAGAAGTGTCTGCAACTCTCGCAAATGTGCGATTCGACCTAAACCTCAAAGCATTAAACTGAAAGCTATCCTCATGTGCCTCAACATAGCGAGTTCGCATGCCACTCAAGTTTCCCATGCTTGTGAACAGGGTGCTATGTTCGCTGGCAACCGGAGCTCAGTTCATGCAGTCAATGATAGTGACGGACAGTATCATCGTGACAATTCCGTCTTGTGTGATCCTTTGCAGAGCATCCAGCAATATCCTGACAGCTTGAGGGCCTCAGCCTGGAGCCCAATTGAACAGAGAACGGACCTAGGTCAACATAGCATAGATGCACTGACAGGTCACGCGGCAGGAGGAAGTGCCCTACCAGAGGCCACCTTTTGCGAATATGAAACTAGTCCTTTTTCCTGGCCTTGTGAAGGGGACAGTAGAACTATAGTTCCTGACGGAACTGAAGAAGGCCACAGCCATTCGTCCATGAATGGTCCTGATCATGATTCTGACATTGAATCTAGTTACTCGGTGACTCATGGAGACGACAGGCTAACATTTTTGGGCAATTTTGTCATCGATCCTAGGACACAAGAGCCTCTAGGTACCGATGTTGGCCGGGACAGGTCGGTTCGCCGGAAAGAAGCTGAGAACCTTGTCTTCCAAGATCGTCCGTTTCTAGCTAAGACATGGTTTGCACCCCTGAATCGGTGCAACAGTCAGCCGAGGGATTTGGTCGTCTCGGTAGAAGATTTCGGCCGAATTGGAGAGGTGGTTTGCTCAGTTTGGGGGGATTACTTGACAGCGAGTTCTTGCTCCTTCCGACTTGTCTGGCCGCAGCCAGCTCTATATACGTACCAAGAGTCTTGGCACTTCCTTGTGTTCGATGGGCAGGGCCCACCTGCCTTGCTTGTTCACAACACGTGTGGGAGTGATCAAGGAGAACAAAGTCAATGTCATTCCTTTTGTGCTTGTGCCTTCGACCATAAGCATAGTGTTCGTAGATCTCAAGAGAAGTCTTCTGGCAAGCAATGGAAGCATGGAGACTTGGTTAAGATCGTCACGGAGGGAGCACGAGGAGTGTGTGAAAGTTTCCCATTGCTGTTTCCCGTCAATAGTCGACAACACGCGAAATATGGGGACAACACTGCAACCCCGATTGATGATGGGCAGGATGAGTTGGCTATGATGCAGGCGCAGCAGGCGACCAGAACAGCAGCAGAAAAGGATGCGCCAAGTGTTTGGGGCACGGCTCTGATGCAATGGCTAGAGCAAGCGGAGCTCTTTCACCATCTGAGAGTTATGCAAGGACACTTCGGCGCTAAAAGTGCCAAACCGACAAACCTACTCGTAGCCGGACTCCCTGCCGAAACAACTTCGGCTTTAGAGAAGGTGAGTAGGACATCCAGTTGTCCCAAAACTTCATCGATCGGATTGGAAGACCGCGGCTGGGCTACCAGTTCACTCAAAGAATATCCGAGAGACTTTTGTTGTTTCTTGGCCAAGATGTTCGATCGATGGATGTCAGGTGCAACCCGGAGGTCGGGCCCCCCACCAGTTGATGTTCACTGGCTTAAGGCTATGCACATCACTGAAGTGGATCAACGCTGTAAAGAAGGGCCCGATTTCAATCCGCTACTAATTAAGAATTCACACCAGCAAGGCGCTGAGTCTTAGGACACCGTGCGCACAAAGAAAGAAAGAAAGAAAGGGTGTTCTCGTCCGATCCTTGCTGATGGGCTCCATGGCCTTATCGTAGGCCGCCTGCGCGCCAGGCCCGATACTCTCGTTCAACATGGAGTGCACCAGCAAACACAAGGCCGGGCGCAAGCGCTTTCCACCACTGCCTCAGATCCGCTTGTTTATTCTTCAGCATCCTATACCTCATAAGAAGATTGCCGAAAGGGGACCTCCAAATGGATGTGCATCCATTGAAATACCCCAGTGACTGGGAAGAGCAAAGAGGGACCAACCTGTACCCCTCCAGACACGTCCTTATATATCTGTCAACCCCACGATAGCGTTTGGCTGCGATGATCGATTTGTCCAGGAGCTACGTTCGTAGCATCCTTGCTACTAGTAGTAATGGCCGCCAACATCCTCCAACCTACTAGTGATGACCTCCAACCTACTACTGATGACCTCCAACCTACTAGTGATGGCCTCCAACCTACTAGCGATGGCCTCCAACCTACTATAGTCATGGCCTCCATCCTAGTAGCATCTTCCCCTAAGGGGCAGGAGGCATGGACCGGTCTAAAGATCGATCGACGGCGTCTGAAACCCACAACACACGCGGACCTCCGTCCGTACCGGACCTCCCAACGATTCAGAACCGCTTCGCCTCAGAAGCCGTTCCGGAACTCCTTAGTAGTTTTTCTCCTCCCTGTTGTCGGAAAAATGGTTGACAAAAAATTGAGACACCCATTCTCTTGAAGTAAAAAGCACAGCAAATGTCTTCTGGCCAAGAACTTCCACCAAACATATGCGGAACCACGTGATTTACCAGGCCAGTTGAAGATCCTACAGTGCACGTTTGATGTCCATCTTCAATTCATCCCTCCCTTGTTCCCTTGTTCATGGGTCCGAACCCAGATCCTGTGAGGCACGGAGCGAACATCATGAAGAAAGGGATGTGATTTCCTCCACATTTGTAGTGACACCATGTTGTTCTCTCTATATACTTTGGGACTGTTTAGAAGCGTGGACTCGTATACGTGGTGAACAACAAACATCTCTTGTGCCTTTTGGGCACCACCACGCTCGTCTCTATCTCAAGAAGTGGGAATGCCTGCCATCCACATCCACGATAGACCAGACCACTTCTATCGCAGACCTCTATGTGGCTCTCGTCTCTATATGTGGCATTTTCCCAAAACAGTGGAGTTCCTGCCATCCACCGAGCAGACCAAGACCACTGGGGCAAGCAAAGGAGCTAAAGACCTCATTGATGGCCTTCTTCAGCTTCGTGCTCTGCGCTGCCTCCTGTAGACCTGCTGGATGAGATGAACGGCTGAGATGAACCAAGCAGCTGGTCTAGGGCACATGCGGACGTGGCTCAATAAAGAAACAAACCAAACTAGAACCAATGGTCTTTGTGGAAACAAACTATAACCGTAGTATCCGATCATCATCACCTCGTGTTTCTTTGTTTCTTCGTTCGATTTTGTATGTCTTTGTTGGTTCTTCCTTTTACTTCCTTTTGCCAGTGGGTTGGGATGGCCTATCTTTGAGCCATACCGGCGTGAGTAGTTAACTGGATCTGGCTGTGAGACACTCCCACCAAATAGGGTGGGATTCAAACTCGAGGCCACCCGGAGGGTATCAAGGGCTTTTCCCAGCACTGGAATCCATGCAGGGAATCGTATTCTGCAACCGGAAGCAAGCAATGGCCAACTCTAGAGGAACAAGCAGAGCAAGATCCATTTCACAAGTCATGATCTCCCTCGGGCTCTCGCCTAAGAGACGTTCTTGCACTTGGTCTTGACCCTTCGATACCTGGACGGAGATGGTCTTCCCCACGGGCGGTCGGCTGGATTGAGGCGGCTGACCCTTCCTCCCCCCACCGCCAGAAGTGGCAGGGAAGAACAATTAACATGGGAGCAAGAAACATAGAAACGAAGGCATGCATGCATGATGGGATTTTGCAAGATCAAACCGATCTACTAAACCAAATTGGGGCCAATTCAGAATGGTATTTGGTCTTCAGCCTGGTAGGGGGTCTGCGCCAGTCTGTACTCTCAAAGGTCTTGGTGTTTGATTGAATGTGTTTTGGGGATGTTGGAAGAGGATGTTGCAAGAGCCATAAAGATGGACCAACTTCGTCCACACCTTTCAAAACACATCGCGCTTTACAGCACTGATATCAGCAAAGGAAACAAACCACTTTCTCTACCAGGTAGTCCTCATTGACCTTTCTTGATGTTCACCAACTCCCCAAATCAACCATGCACCCTGCTCAAAATCCACTCTCTTCATCTCTCTCTCTCTCTATCTCTCTTTGATCTCGAAATCCACATGTTTAACCAAACATTTGGATTTCCGGATATTTCATGAATTGTCATGACATTTCTCTGCAATCTCTTTGCGCCCAGCCACACAAGAGAGGAGATGCGTGAGATCCAGCTGCTCCGGTAAGGGCGTTCGACGCTCAAGGCCCCGTAGGATCAGCCATTCCACCTGGAGCGTCCCGCTGGTGCAAGACCATATGGAGCGGTCCTGACATGGACCGGACCCCCGGTAAGACATTGTAAGACCGGACCAGCTCAACAAACCACCCGATCTTCCTGAAAAAGTCCATGTTCATTCTGCAGGAAAGTCAATCAAATCGATCTTCCGTCTGAACATTCTGTCCAGCAAACACATTCCTTTTTTGCCAGACCGCCGCGCGCTCCGCGGCGCGGTTAGAGCTGCTCCGATCGTTTGGGGTGTGCAAAGGGTGTCTGCGAGACCGAGGCCGGTCCCCTCCCAAACACGACGAAGTGTGGGACTTGAGGATTTTCCCCAAATCAACCAACCCAATGTATTATCCCTAGGGCTCCAACCATATCCTCAGAAGGTGTTTAGAGCCTCCAAACCCACCCCAACCATCTTCGAAACGGAGGTGGGCCAGGAGCCCAAACGGGTATATGATCAGTATGTCAGTTCCCATGGAGTGTTTGGGCTTGCATTAGGCTTGATCTTTCAAGTGCTTGCCTCGACCGATTCTTTCCCTCCCTCCCTGACGGCAAATGAAAGAAAAACCACCACTACCAACTGCTACAGGCTTGACTACTGGGACAACCCCCATGACTGGGACCCATCTCCATCGCCTCCGGTCGCCTCCGGTCGCCACCGACCCTCGTCCCTCCGCCCTTCTCTTCATCGGACGGTCCATGGTGGTCGGGCCTCTTCAGAGTTGAACTCCAAGCCCAGTCCCTGCGGTGCTCGTGTCTCGTCGTCTGCCAGGGCGACCACCTGAAGGAGTCGAACAAGATGGGATGGCAGTGGGAGGCTGAGAGGAGAAGAAGAGGCAAACTAAGCAAGTCATATTAAGTCGATACTGAATTAATCACTGTGTATAGGATTGTATAGGTGCCAAGTTGATCTAATTGTTCCACGTTTTGGGAAGGTGCATGGAGGATAATTCCGGGGTGCCCCATGAATCCAACTGCCTACCAAAAACCAACGCAACTTGAAACATCGTTTGGTACAAGCTTGATGGATGAACCCGTGCATGTCCGCGCGCGGTCTGTCTGCGCGGTCAACCAGAGCGCATCGTCGTCTCCTCGCGCCAAGCTTTGGATCGCATCCAACCTGTCGAAGGGCTTCCAAAGCGGCGGCTGGGGAACTCAGAACAACAATGATGACATCATTCAGCCACGCAAAAACATCATTCTGAGGATTTGTACTGTTGTTTTTCGTTTCTGATGGTTGCTTCTTCTTCTTCTTCTTGAAGGGTTTCCAAATATGGATGACTCACCTGTCCAAGTATCAGCCTTTCACGGGTCCTTAAGGTTATTTCTATTTGAAGAGTATAGCTGGTGCGCCTCTCTGCTAAATCTCTGGGATCTCTAGTCGCTCCTTGGTCTCGTTGGAGGGGTTTGAGGCCTGCCCAATTCATCACATCTTATGTCTAGGCCAAAGCTGGCGGGTCACCGCGCCCAACACACGTCAACACACGTCAACACACGAACGATGATCCGAAACGAGTAAACCATCGCATGCGACGGACCCGAGATCGACTCGATCGACTCCTCCGGTCCCAAGCATGGAAGGCTTCACTGAACGATTGAACCCATGCTTCCACCTGGTACCTGTGAGCACCATGAGTGGCCGGTCGCCAAGGGGGCATTGGAGCGGAGAGGCCACCGGATGGGCAGCCCGTGTTGGTTTTAGGCCAAATGGTCGACCGGGGTCTACCCGGTCTCAAGGCCTGCGTTTTCACCCGGTTTGGAAAAAGCATGTCAAAACCCATGTACGAATAGCCGGATGTTTGATCAACCAGGAACTTAGGTCCTGTTAGGTGCTTCGGCGATTTGGTAAAAGTATGCCAAAAACAATCAAAAACCCATGGCCCAAAAAGATCACTTCGGGTAGGTGATCCACATCCCTCGCACTCTTTGGACACGCATGCAGACCTACCGGTGTTTGACACACCCCGCCTGTGCTTGGAACGCTGCTCACTGCCTGCACCGTGAAAAACCGGTGAAACAACGATGGTCACATCCTAAAAGACCGGACTGGTCGATTTCAATTGGGGGGTGGTTTCTGTTCTCATTTGTGTGGACTGTCTGGGTGCTGGGTCATGACTGTTCAAGGAAACCATCACATACCAATGAGCTGGGTCGGTCACTATGGGGTTGAATCAGCTTGGTCCTGAGTGGTTGTCTTCTCAAATTTGCAACATCGGTTGCCTCTCACAAACACCAAAACTAGGATAGCATATAATTACACTTACACACACCTGAAATGACTCCAGGACCTCCCCTCTGTCGGTACAGTCACCCATGACCAAGAATGCTGTGCCTCACACAAACCCCATATATTGCCTATTGCCTACATTGGGGTGGCTTGAGGTGTCAATGTGGTAAATATGCCATACTGTAACCAGGATTTTGTCCTTGCAATGAAGGTTTCCCAATGGCACACGTGCTTAAATGATGTAGTATGAGTGTCTAGAAGATGGATTGTTCCTTCCTGTTCCTTTGGATCTCTACCCTTCGTCGAGAAGATCCTCTCCGGCACCAGCTGTTAGAGGTCCGTGTGCATCATGATTTGGTACAACGTTCTTGTGTGCCATGACCTATCACTATCTCTCTCTCTCTCTCTCTGTATATATAAATACACACCTCACAAGGCTAGGTATTTTTTACCCCTCCAGTCACCTCCTCCATGAATCTTCCACGAACACCTAGCCACACCTAGCCATCATGAGGGTTGGTACAACGTTCTGTGCCAAATCACTGAACCGGACGCCGAACCATACCCCAAAATTTCATATCGGTAACTGATCCGGACTTGTTGCCTTTTGAACATAGAGACAACCAACCCCAATGTAGGGGGAACACAATTTGTACCAATTCCCATAGCGGGTCAAGCTGGGCGACTCGCCCAAACTCGTGGCCGGGCCAAGCTGCTATGGATCCGCTGCAACTGCGCCCGCAGCCGCAGATTGGCCACCTGAAGGCAATGGCACGTCAAGGACAGTAGCCTGTTCATCAATGTCAACTCAACGAGTGCAGTGATGATTGAAATTCAACGAGTGCATGTCACTACAATTTATGTATTATGAGTCACAAAGCATCAAAAAGCGTCATGCATAACATCTGCAAACACACACCAACCAAGTAGCAGCTTGTATGCCTTGTTGCTTTCCACACCCACAGGATATGCACAGTGTTTGATGGTTTGCTGTTCGGAAGCAATCTTCAAAGAGCAATATTTTCTGCACAAACTTGCAAACAGTGGTGTGCCCTTGAAGAACCGTGCACGCGGGTCCGCACGCGTACCCGACGCCTTCATGTCGAAAACGCGGCTTTCAGGGTCAGGGTTCACCTGAGCGTTCAGAATATGGGCCCCAAAACCAAGGTTCGGGGGAAGTGGAAGCCTGAGAAGGGGGAAACGAAAGCCAGGAGCCACCAACTGCTAGACCTGTTCGTATCCCATGGCACAACACCCTGCAGTCACCCTGTATACACCAATTCCTCAAAAAAATAGTCAGGTGGGGGCTAGCCACTTGGCTAGGCACTTGGAGTCTCCAGACTACAGTTTATCTGGGACAAAAACGTGTTCATAACATTTCGATAAACTAAAAAGAACCCCCAGAACGAAATTAATCTAGTTTGGATCGTCAATGTCGTGGCGTTTGGGTATCTTTGTTGTACTGTTTTTACGCTCAACAAAGGGACAAAAAGGGCAAGTAAATGGACACTTGGAGTCACTTCGGGTTAGTGGAGAAGCCTTGAAGCGAGGGCCACCCGCAGTCACTGGCATCCGCGGCTGCAAGTGGCTGTGAGTCGCCGGATAGAACATCGCCCACGGATTACATACTCAACGGGCTCTTGAGCACTGGTACGAGCTAGTAGCTGGTGCCAAGTACTCTTAAACCCACCGGAAATCCCCTATACCTAGAAGCACCTCAGCAAGAATTTCTGCCTCAGTCAAATTTGCCTTGGAGGATTCGCGGGTTTAGGGTAAAACCCCGTTAGGTTGGAATTTCAGTGGACAGCAAAGAATTTTTGCGGCAAGAAGAAATCAACCTAAAAGCCACCAGGTTGCCTCTTCCATGATTGCATACCGCGTATCGTTCTGCAAGGACATAGTTTCGCATCTCAAGATCTGACACCCACCCAGCAGGGCACCAGGGTGATTTTGACCCTTTCGATTGATGAAACTTGCAAAAAAGATTGCAACATATGTTCAAGTCCTTCAAAAGCACTGGTTATTGAATTCCCCCTTTTACCAGGAAATTATGTATGTTTTTTTTATGTTTTTTTGTATTGTCCATTGTATTTCCACCTATTTTTGCGTCAGGTATTTTGCTCCGGGTGTGTGTTCATTCCTAACGATAAACCTTCAAAGCCAGATTTGCATGTGGACATGTGAAGGTGGAAGCTTAAGCTGCCATTCTTTATTCTTCTCATTGAGGTGACCGTTCCAGTGAATGTCTCGCTCTTCTGGCAACACCTCCCCTCTTGCCGCCCTCCCCAAGCGCTGACTCTCCGGGTGGTTTCATGCTCCGAAACGTTGATCGTTCAGAACCCACCCAGCGAGGGACCACCATGTCAGCGACCACGCTGTCCTCGTTGGACACCTCGCCATCCTCCATGAGGTGTAAACAGGCCACCTCAGGGCGCCGACCGCGGACCGTGATCCCTTCGTGATGCGATCGACCGGAGCGTTCTCTCCCTCCGTCACCGTGGCAGCAGTGGCCCTCCGGGATGGGTGGGTGTATATAACAACCGAGAGCGCCGGCAGACAGACAGTTTAACGCCACAGATCCGCCAGGTGGCTCACCGCAGGAAAAAGAACACATGTTCAAGAAGGCATTGGCCCCAGAGATTTCACTGATCCATTTTAAAGCGAATCCCCATATATATATATAGATTTAAGAAGGAGAACTGAAATTAATAGGGCCATTCTCCTCAAGCCATCCGCGATTCGTGGAATCTATGCATCCCACAAGAAGCTAGCAGCTACAGTACTGGACGAATCTCTACTGAACAGCATGTTCCCTGCTGAAAAGTGAGTCTCTTCCAGTCGAGGCCAAGAAGGACTGATAAGAACCTATCGATAGCCGTACTGCTTTGTCTGCACACTTCAAGTACTCCGAGGTGGAGTCAGCTTCTTCCCTCAGCAAAATAGCACGGCCATAGTCTCCACCTCACACCACACACTGCAGAACTTCAACCCACGCACCACCACACATCACACCATGGCGCGCCAAGTAAGCGCACCAAAAAAAAGAACAACACCGGCCCCACGCCGGCTCCAGGCGCACTAAACGAACTCAAAAAAGGACAACAGCGCCGACCGGTCGAGTCGAGTCGCGAAGACACGATAAGACACGAAGACACAAACAAAACACGACGGATCGATCCGGCCAAGAAGCTCCACGGACCAAGGTCAAAAGGGCTTCCTTCTCTTTGCTCTCCTCTAGACATTCCAAGCGCGCCGTCGCACGGGCCTCGGATCGAATTCTGATGAACCGATGAACCTGAAGCCAAGAGGAAGACTTGGCTCAGTAAGCCATCAAGAGTAAGTACATGGAAAGTACATGTTTTATTTGTGTATTTATATATTTATTTATGATTTGTTCTTTGTATTACAGTTGTTCTTTTTGAACAGGGTCATGTCATGTCATGTCACATGTCCCATGTTCTAATTATATACTGTAATTAGGTACTTTAAGAGGGTCCTTGGTGGATATCAAGTTGGAGTGATGCGTCTTACCCAGCAGTCAAGAACCAAGATGAACCAAGACTGATTGCATCAAGGGTAGAGACACGTCCAAAAGTAAGAGGTTCAACGTCACAGCCCGAGTTTGAGGTTGGAGGTTTGTCCAGTATGTGTTGAACAAAGCAGAAAATACACCATCCAAGAGATGTTGAACAGCCTTACTTATAGCCCATCCCATAGTATGTACCACTACGTGGTCCTAGTTCAGGTCTCAAAAAACCTCTCTTGAATGAAAAGACAAACAAAAATCCGACCTGGAGCAATGATTTCACCAGCCTGGTCAGCCTTCCCCAATGGACAACCCCTGAGAAAAGTCAATGATGCAAGGAACAATAAGGGCTGAGACTGGGCTGGAAGCTGGAGGGGTGAACGGGTGAAACACTCCGTCAATGCTGGTGTTTTGGAGGAATCATGGGAACAGGAACAAAGTCCTCAATCCCAAGGAAATGTCATGCCATTTGCAGTACAATGTCTTGTTTGTTGATACTACCCATGAAGAGTCCAATTGCTCCAAGAAATCTTAAAGGTTTTCTACCACGACACCATTTGTCAAACGCACCCCGCTTGGGGACAACTGCATCCCTCGAAGAAAAGCTACAGAATGGTCAATCTGTTTGTTCACAATCATGTCCTGTTCGCTTCTGGCATTGCACAACACTGGTTGTCACCACAAAGGAGAGTAGTCTTCCAAAGGACCATGCCATCCTTCTTCAGAGTGTATAGCAACTAATCTCACAGCAAAACACTCTCAGACCATTTACCCGCCTTCCTTGCCAAGTCGCGCCAAGCTTGTTCACCAGGTGAATCGTTGGCATCATGCCGTGCTCCTTTACCCGCCTCAGGGCCTCTTCGAAGTCCTTCGCGCCAGAACTGGGGGGGATGGACTTCATGTGAATGGATGTGAATGGATGATTTACTCATCATGGCTGTGGATTTGTGTCAGAAGGGCCCCTGGCCTGAACTGTGGCTGTGATTTCTGGATGGAATGATATCAGGCACAAAGACAAAAGGGCCGATTGAAAATGTTTGAAAGGGTGTCTGGATGTGTTTTTTCACTCTTCCGTCACCTCGTCAGTGACTGGAGTACATCGCAGCATGTGTGCACCGAATTTCGATGGTGATAGGAGTCATAGGGGCACTAAGGGAACCACCTTCTGCATTTTAGGGATCTATTCAAAAGGCTCGTGGTGAAAGAATGCTACTCAGGGCTTCCACGTCATCCAGCAAACCAACGAATCCGCCCCCAAGCCCTGCCACACCATGTCCTCATCTCGATTGGAAAAGAAACCACGCTTTCCACCACGCCCCGCTGCAATTTGTTTCATCGCTTCACCACACTGCACGCTGACTATGACCGTCTCTCTGCGTCCGCGTCCACTCGCCGGCGGTCCTCGGCGTTCTCCAGGCGCGTGGAGAGCAACTCCTTGAGCCGCTGATCGCGCTGCAGCGCGAAGATGATGGGCGCGGAGATCCTTCCGGGGTCGGTGTAGGGGGAGGGCTGGGGAGGAAAAGGTGCCTGTTAGAAAAGGGTTGGTTGGTTGGAGGTTATAAAAAAGGCAAGACTTTCCAACATGAAAGATGAACAATATATTTATGCAATGGAAACGGGTGTACACGTATCCAACTACATGTGAGGCCAATATTTTGCTCCCAAATGCTATTCACATCGCATCCCATGCCCTGCAGCAGTCACACTTTACAACAGGTTCTGACTGCGACAACACTCAACCAAACCCAGTCACTCAGGAGGAACTGAGCCAGCCGATAAAACAACATGTCTGGCGCTTCAGCCAGCGAGAAGTTTCATTGAACTTAGTACCACAGCCTCAGCAACGCACATTTTCTCGGGTGCCCAGTTGCAAGTTGTTCTATTGATATGTCTTGTCTTTTTTGGTTCGGTTTCTTCTGCAGGAAGAACAAAGAAACAGGTGACACCATAAAGTGGAAACAAGCGGTCCTTGTGCATAATTTGGTCTCTTGGTCTTTGGGGTTTGTGGCTTTGGCTCACGGCCACTTCAACAAGAGTCCACAGGTACCTTAACTATTAGCGACACTTGGTGCCTTAAAAATAATAAAACAACTCCACCGGGGCACTCCCACTCCAGCCTCGCACCGATGTTTTAATCCCCCCGGAAGTCGTTGCGAAGAACATGCCTCCCTCCGGCCACAAACCGCTTCGAACTCGGTTTCAACCAACTCGACGTCGATCGGCGAAGCCGCGCTCCTCCCAAGCTTCAGCGCGGTGGTCATGCCTACTGTGCCTTGGATCTTCGCGTGAGAGGGTGGGAAACCCATGGGGTGCCCGGCTGGAAGGAGGCCTGTTTCTATACCTGGACCATCTCATGGGTCACCAGGCTGGACAACCCCTTACTCCCAAACAGGAGACCCAATCCATGGTAGAAAGTGCTTTCAAGAGTCACCGGATACACTGGCTAGAGGTCCCCCCCTCAGCATGGGACAGCTGGATGTAAGGAAATGATCTGGAGGTCTTGTCAAATGCTTCATATGATTGGACATTGTAAGTCTATCTTTGGCTGCTTGGGCAAAGAAAAACGCGGAGGGATTAAGCCCCACGACATCATATTAATAGTTCAAATTAAAATTATCACAGACGCCTCTTCCCAATAAGATCCAATAAGCAACATGCATAGCAGTTTGATACTCAGATCGAACCACCCATTTGCCCCTTTTTTCTGTGCAGTTTTTGGGCGCCTTCCCTTGAACCTGGTTGGACTCGTTGGGCCAGCCATCCCGTGTCAGAACTCAGAGATAGCAGGATCATCCTGTCTGGGTGTCCAATAGACTACCCTACTAGCCTACCCTACTTATGTCTCCAAACAGGGCACCCAGACAGGAAGTGCTAGCTAGTCTTCTAGATCTTCCAAGTGTGCAAAATTGCAGCCTTTCCATCGTAGGGTCAAGCAGCCTTTTGGGGGTCACCAAACTATGTGATGTTTGATCGAAATCTGGCAGGGTCCCATGAGGGGTTCTCCAGGTGGGTTGAATATTCCAACTGTTCGGCAAACCTCAGGAGTCTATAGGGCTTGATCCAACCAAGAGATGAACTCCAGCCCAGCGTCGAACGTCCTTGAGCAACGACACCTTTGCGCTGGAAGCTGCTGGAAGGCGAGCACAAAGAAGAGAAGAAGTCAGCGAGTCCACACCATACCAGGACAAACCATGGTGGGTGGTCGAACCCAACCTGAACAGAATATGTCATTTGTGAGTGGGATCAATATGATTTCCTGAAAGGGTTTTACGTGTTTAGACATTTCTTTGGGGGAGGATATGCTGTAATCATCCATGGTACGGGAAACCAACAATTTGGACGACTAACCAGAAACAAAAACATGTCCAATCTCATTACATATATATATAAATATATCAGATCACAACACCCGCTCATCACCGCCCGTGGGGAGGCCCTTCTCTGATGTAAAAGGATCGAAATCCCAAGTCTGGGACCTCTTGAAAGTCAGAAGCACGAGATCTTGTGCAACTGGCACGAGCTGTGTTTGTGATTCGTCGAGGAAAACCACACCTTAACAACTATGGCCGGAGTCACACCTATGTTCCAAAGGGTTTCAGAAGTAGGTGTCTTCTTATTCTTAACCCCCAGAGTGCAGGTCGGGCTGTTCTTTCGGGCTGTTCGTCCTGCCCAGTCTCCAGTCTCCCTCGCTGGGCTCGCCCAAGGCACCACGAGGCCCAAGTCGGAGCCAAACTCCGCCAGTTGCGTCGCGATGTCGTCGCTCACCTGGCGCAGATGGTCGGTCAATCCGACGTCCAGCTCGACGAAGGGCGAGGAGATCCCGAAGGACATGCTGTGGGAAGTTGTATGAATTTGTGAGTATACTGGACTAGATAGATATCTAGATTCTAGATCTCTATATATATATATATAGATAGACCATAGATGGACCTTCCACGAGATGAGAGGTGATCAATCAATATTGCTGGATACTTCTTTCTTTTGCGGCATCTCCTGCAAGAAATAACACATTCACTTGGACATGACCAAATTCTTGATCCTGAAAGCTTCTCAGAAGGTAAGAGGACACTTTCCATGTTGACCACTCTCTTGACATGCCCATCCCAAAACCAAGTGTTCACCCTAAAGGGTGGGCATGCGATCCCTCTATGCTGGAAAGGCGTTACGGTTACCTTGCTTTTAATCGTAAGTATTATGAGATCCATTGAGGAAACACATTGGTATGTTTCATGCGATGGTTTTTGTAACTATAAAAGTATATACACTCTATACCGGGTCAACACTAACACCAAACAGCCCTCTTTTGATCATTCAACATGCATTCCATGTATCAGCAAGTAAAACAACGCTCATTGGCTGGGTAAACCGGCCCACCATGCATCAAGAAAACCCATCAGCAACATATGAACCTGCTCCTCAGTTTGGTCTCTCTCATGACACCCAACTTTTGGTCTTGTGGCCAAGAAATTCAAGCTGAAGCCTCACCCAACTTAGCCAACATGGAATACTGAGGACTCTTCATGATATATCCTGGCACTTGACACGTTTACAAATGATTGATTCGATTCTCACGTCCCAACGTGTTTTCGGATCCCCTCACCCGACTGAAACAACTTCAAACCACACCTCTCCACCCGTCACGTGCCCCACCGACCGACCGGTGACGGACCGATAGACGCACCTTGTTGACGAAGGCCGCACACGCAGTACTTGCCCCAAAGAAGGCCGCCACCCCGGCCACCTGGGTGGACTCACCCCAAAACGGTGGGACTGAGATAGTAGGGATATACAAGTACCAGGAGTCACAAAGGGTTAGTGTTTGGTCCCTAAGTGAGTGGATGTTCTGGGCACCCCTGTTCTCCAATAACCCCTTTGTGACTCCTGGTAGGCATATAGAAAATAACGTCCAGCACCGCAAGTGTCTACCACGCTATGTTTATTGCTACTCTTGGTGCTCGGCATTTGACTCAAACCCACTTCTCCTCTGTTGTGGCTGCTATGTCTGCGTTTGGGTGTGCAAACAAGTTTATGTATCCCCTCATCAGGAAAAGATCCTGAAGACCTGAAGCCTTTGTTCATCGGAAAGTTTTGACACCTACGCTGCGTAAACACAAATTCTTTTGGCGCCTGAAGACTAGCGGCTAGGGGTTGTGACATGTTGTGACATCAATGCCCAAGATACGTGTAAAGACTACTTATTCAGGCAAATAATTACAACAGGGAATGGACAGCTGATCACTTACTCCCCAAAAAGGCAGCAAACGTTTTTATCCGTCCGTTGAAAGTACACAAACTATCCGGTCAACTCTGTTGAGGGAATCTTCACCCCCCTTTGATGAGCAAGACTGCAGTCATTGAATTAAAGTATGATATAGGGAGGCTGCAAAACGGTACAATGATGCCTCTTAACAGGACACCACGAAAGGAAGCTGTACTCTCATCAACGGCCCGGCCTTCTCAATCTCCAAGTACTGCTTCACGGTCAGGTCCAGGTTCCAAATCCTCAAGAGGATCGTTGAGATCCAAATCGTTCCCATCACTCATGGCTGGCAAAACATCTCTTGGCCCTTGAAGAGTAAGGAGCATGGAGAGGGGTGGGTGGAACTTGGGCCCTCACTAGCTGGCCCTTGGGATAAGCAGAAGAGATGGACTGGTGGACAGACATGATCCTCATCCACTGGAGTGGCTTCGTGCAGGTCACCATGTTCCCTATAGATCCTTTGCTTGCAACTTCTAAAATTTGGCCACAATTGCTTAATTAATGAAGGGCGGAGTCGAAGGTATTTTGCACAACAGCTCGGTTCGGTTTTTGAGAATGTTCCCGTTTCTTTCAACTTTCACCTAGCCATGCAACCGCCAACCACACACTGAAACTGCCACGTGTCAGCTCACGCTTCCGCAGCTGGCCATCACTGTAGGCAGCAATGGTGTTGGCGATGAGCTTTCGACAGGCGCGGCTATCCAACTTGGCCTTTTCGGGCGGCAAGGTGGTGCGAGGTTGGGCCGGTGGTGTTGCGGCAAATGGTCCGGGGAGAAGATAGGGATCATACAACAAGGGGCTAGGTATCCTGATGTCAGGAGAATTTGTTTCTTGGCTCCACCCAAGACCCAGTTATTCTCGGTGTTCTTGGCCTTTCTATGGCCAAAAGAGTATACTTTCTGGCTTTCTCTCCAAAAAATCCGACACACCAAAAAGGGTGAATACAGGAGGAAATTCTGCATATTCAAAGGCATAGGAATTGAATTCGGAAAGTCGCACAGTTGTCACTGCCACAATGTCTTGGTGGCTCTGGTGGAGGACTTCTGCGTTCAGCAGTAAAAATCAATATGTGTGTGTGTCATCCTAGTTCTCAAACTAAATATTTACTTGAATACATGATACATGCTTTGTTTGCAAAGGGACTCCCTGCAAATACCACATGTTCACGTGCATCATCGGCCACCAAACGACCCCCAGCTCTTGAGTGTTCTTCCAAACCATGGGTTACCCATAGCCAGTGAACACAAACCACCACGCTCTCTTCACATAAGAAGCTGATGGATGACACCCTCTCTTCTACATGGTTGGGCGCCCCAGTTCGAAGACAGCTTCATAAACCCAGGGCCGAATCAAGTCATTGATCCTGGATTTATGGCGCATGGCTGTATGCCTCTAGGTCCACTCGATTTCTAGACCTCCTGGATTGAATTGGAGAGATCTGTCCATCCTCGACTCCTCGACGCCTGAGTTGCCATAGCTGTCAACCAAGTTGCCATAGCCCACTGAGCTGTCGCATACAAGGAATCGCCGCCTCCGGTGCGCCGCAATCGCCGCTGGGTGATCCACGTCATTTGGAGGTTGCATGATCCAACAGAGGCTGAAGGACCCGAACTAGCCTATCCCAGTTCGGTACCCCAGTAAGGTCCTAGTTCAGGTCACTTGACCTCTCTTGGATTGTTTGTAGCTGAATGGCGAATCTTCCTGGACTCTAGAGGGCAACTCGGCTGGTCATGTGGAAAAGCTTCACACCTGAATCTTGACAGTCTGGGCGGTTTCGCGGCTGCAGCCCATCAGGCTCACATACAGGGCGGATGCTGCAAGAGAAAAACGGCAAATTATAGTCCCTCAAAAGTTTTGACTCTATTGCCACGTGACGCCTTCCAGTTCCAAAACTAACAATTTATATATTTGATGTCAATGATATTGTGATAAACATGCGCTCAGTCATTTCAAACCATCAAAAACCATCCAGGGTTCAAATCCATCCATCTCTCTCCAGCTTCTGATCTTCTGCGAAAAGCCTCAACACCGGACGCCTTCCGCATCATGCGCTCCTTCCACACCGCGCCTAGGAGCGAGACCTTTCGTCGATCCTTGGGCTCGGTGCTCGTGGGTGTGGAGCCTCCTGCGTCGAAGGCGGGGCTGGGCAGCACTGGGGGGTGTGGGGTGTGGGTGGGTTTAGTTTTGGGGGGTTGTGCTCCCTGAAATCATCATGGAAGTGGAAAACCACCACCTGTTTGGTATTCGGAGAACGGTCATCGTTGCGGGTCATGCCATCCACGTAATCTTCACTATTTCAGGGAGTTTGCCATTATACTCAGATCCTTCAAAAGTCCGAATTCACACACTCAAAACGCTCCAATTTACAGCTCTCCGGTTCCATGGTTTGAGAATGCAACTCCTTCTTGCCCATAGCCATCCATCGCCTGTGCATGGCATTTATTAATCTTTGTATTAATAGAAACAACTCTTGATCAATCTAAATAATCTAAATTATATATATACAATTATATTCGATCACGCGCACTCTCGAGTCCAGTGAGACGTGGACTGAGTGGATTACCCAACCACAGATTGAGCAATCCAAAGTAGACCCCAAAGAAGTTAAAAGTCACCAATGCAAAGTCGCCACGACTCAATCTGCCTTCCAGCGCCTTTGGCGAAGGCAGAGGCAATCATCACACGGACTTCGTCAGAGTGAAAGGGGATTGCCCCATCTATACAGCCCTGCGGTAGCACTCGACCGCACGAGCGCGGCTTTGTAGAACTGAACAGGCCAGGAAAGGCGTCAACATTCGGCATCTTGGAGAGCTGCAAGATGCACTCTCGCATCAACTTGTAGATATCATACAGCGTGCAGACCTCCAAGTCTCCAGACAGGCAAAAGCCTGCCTGATGGTAGAAGACAGCCAACTCACAGAAGGAGAAACTTTGCGAACAGTCAACTTGCCAGTATAAACCTGAAAGGAATGCACACAACGTGTCCCAATCTTCCTTTGGAGCTTTCCATGTAGGTGGAGGAGGCAATCTCTTCGGAATTTTGGGCCGCCAAGGAAGGTCGGGAGCAGCATCATCATTCTCATCATTTCCATGAATGAGACCAGCACCAGGATCACCAGTAGGCATCATGGCGTGAAGGTTAATGAGCCATCGCTGATGGGTTTCAACAGCTTTCTTCATTTCAGAGAACATCTCGAGATTGATGGGGCACAAGCCTTGCGCAAACTCCTTGGCTGCGATATCACACCGTCGATTGCGAGTAATGTGTTCGACAGTGGTATTGTGTAGAGCAGCCAGATCGTCGGAAAGAAGATAGTCTGGGATGTGTTCAAGCTTGTGTGCCGGGATCCATTCGATCCAAAAAGGCCGAGCGACATCTCTCGACCGAAGGTGGACAATCTTCTCCAAGGCTTGCCACCACTCCAGGCAACTCCATGATGGATCGACGGAGCCGCCTTGAAACAAATGCTGAGCATGGTTGACCACATTCAAACAGTCAGAGAAAATGATGACCTTAGTGGATGCTGTAACACAAGCTGACACAACTGGCCATAGCTCGGCTGCATACGCAGAGAGAGCCCAATGACTGATGAGCCCTTTCTTGACAATGTTGATCTGCTCATCAACAATTGCATATGTTGCTGTGGCCAGCCAAAATGATTCACCCAACACAAGTGAGCCGTCTGTCCAAAGGCGTACCAGACAAGAGGGATCAAACGTTTCCGACACTTCAAGGTCGGCCGCCAAAGTGAACTGAAGACGACGACGAGCGATGAACTGTGGGTGGGCAATGTGGCCCAACAGCGAAAAGTTCTCTCCCAATTCATGATGTATTGGAACACCAGTAAGGGCGTGAAGTGGCTCACAATCATAAATCAAATGGTGCATGTCCTCTTTCTCCTTACCACAAAAACGACAAAGAGGCGAATCGATCCACCCAGACCCAGCAAGTCTATCATTTGTAAGGGTGCACCCAACCAAAAGGGATTCGAGTCGAGACCGAAGCAAGACTCCATCCGTCTCGGCGTGCGGAGGCAACCTCTTGAGAAGAGAGGTAGTTTGCTGAAAGTCAAAAATCTTGGTGGAGGGGACCAAGTCCTTGCGTTTTCGTCCAAAAGCTTGCTGATAACAGGCCTGTCTGGCAATGTTTTGAAGAACTTCCTGGAACCCCAAACAACCAGAAACAAATGGTTGTTCCAAAATGGCAATTGACATCCTTTACATGGGAAATGGTTGTTTGGGGAAACATCCATTTCTTTCTGGTTGTTTGGGGTTCCAGGTTTACTAGCATCCTTAGTCGACAAGGCTCGCAGAGGGACAAGTGCCCACAGTAAGAAATATTGAGGTCCTGGTCAATTTGAATACCCAAAACTTCAGCAGCACCTCGGAGTTTGGTGGCAAGTGAATGTGCCCCAGTGTCTTTCTGCCAGGTGCGCATGAGCATGGGAAATGTATATGGCAGGGTATGGCACATGCGAATGCATTCTAAAACGGTGTTAAACGCACATGCAATCCGAGGATCAGTACGATGGGGCTGAGACAGGACAGCCTGGAGGAGTTGACGTGATCTCCATTTGGGCCTGCCGACCCACAGCGCACGAGCAATTGCATTTTGAATGGAATTAAGAGCTTGTTGCGGAATCTTAGAGATATGAGCGCCAAATGAAATCTGTGGCAAGATCTTGGAGCCAATCAGAAAGACTCGAATTTTGTGAGGAACCGGAAGAGCAGCAATGTTTTCCGAGTCATTCAAAACTTTTCTTAATTTCTTATCATCAAAATGAAAAGCATCTCTCTCAGAGGTGTACATCATGGTGCCTAAGACTTCAACTTCCAACCGGAGTGGGAGCTGCGGGAAGAACTGTTTGGCAGTCTTACGGCCCTTAGAGGTGGTGGCCCACATTGAGGACTTAGCTTCATTTAGCTGCTGGCCTACCCGCTTGTCCCACACTTTGGTCACTTCGAGAGCCTTGTGAAGGTATTCGCAATGCTCGAGTTTGGACCATAAGTATGCATCATCGATGAAAGCTCGCGCAAAGACCTCAGGCAAATGGTCCAAAAGGTGACACCAAACCTTGTTGTAGGCATTCATTGCCAAGAGCGAGAGTGAACATCCTTGTGCCACGCCGTTGGCTCCATGAGTGGACTGAGGGCAAATCCACCTTCTATAGGACAAGTGTTTATGAAGCCCTTGATATTGCTTAAGAAAGGCATTGACAAGTCCTTGTGGGAGCCCAAAGGCTAAAAACAAGGCGGCTGCAAAAGATGGAACAATACGATCAAAAGCTTTTGCCTTGTCAAGCTTAATGCCAACCAAAGTCACTTGGTCAAGCTTCGCACAATCAATGTGTAAGCGAAGATCATTGTACAAGGAAGCCATATGGCGACCCTTGATCCCTCCCAGCACCGAAGAGGGCATCACTTGCATCTGCCATGCATGGAGTTGCGCGAAGCGGCTACCCGTGTAGGCTAAGAGCAATGCAGGCAAGATTGTTATAAGCCTCTTATTCATTGGGGTAGCAGGGCCAGGCTTGTTCAAAATGACCTGCTTAGCACACACGAGTGCTCGGGGGAGAGGTAACTCAGTTTGTTCAACAAGTTGAAAGAAGGAGGCCACAGGTTCCAGCTCAGAAATGCTGAAAGTTTTGAGCTCACTAGTTCGCCAACCATCTAAACCCGGAGCCGCGTGGGTCTTTCGATGTTGGAGGACATGGTGCAAATCACGAGCATTGACAGGTGGAAGCTCAATCTTCAAGTGCTGATCTTTAATGTAGGGCCACACAACTTCTAACATCTTCAAAGGGTGTTCACATAAGGTGTTAACACCAAACACCGAGTCCCATGAAGAGTTGAGGTGAGCAAGGGCGGCTTCAGGTTGGAAAATAACGTTGTTGTCAGCATCAACAACTAAATTGGGCGGTTCATCTTGCTGCTTATTTCGAAGGTGGCTGAAAATGTACGAACAGTTGGAGTTTGCCGACTCACGGATGCGCTTCTTCCAACTCTGAATTTGCTGGAGCCGAATTGAGGCATCACAAGTCAACAACAGTTGCTCGGCCCACCTCTTGGCAAAGTGGACTTCAACCAACTTAGGGAAGGCAGGATTGGACCAACCAACTGGTGCATTGAGGTCGCGAAGGGTCCAAAAGGCCTTAATGGCTGTGCGTCGAGTGATGGTTTGATCATCAACAGTACCTTCCCACCTGGAAAGCCTCGTGAAGAGCTCTTGGAGACGACCAACCAGTTTGGCGAGGCGCATGCTCTTGGCAGTGGCCGCGCATCTCGTCAACAACTGTTTGGGGGCAATTGTTTTGTAGGAGAAGATTGGAGTTGCAGCACGCTGTTTCGGACCATCCCCCCAAGTGGCCCCTTTAGCAAGAATGGTCGATTGAAGAAAGTCATTTACAATACCCCACTTGGCATCAGCGGTAGTGGCACTAGTGAACTTAGCTTCAAAATCACGTTTCCATTCTGGAGGTTCACGACCAATGGTGTTTTCAGAATGCATGCCGGAAAGATCAAAGGCAGCCGATTTGTAATGAACAAAACCTCTTTGATCCAACGAGGGCCACTCGAAAACAAGTTGAATGGGTCGATGCTGGCGCCCAAAATGTTCAAGGACATTGGCACTATGCAAGGCTGCAAAAGCGGTGTCGTTCACGAGCACGGCATCGATCGACGTGCAACTATCCCCGGGTCCAGAGAAGAGTCCATCGTTGGAAAAGGTCAGGGGACGACAAACTTCACCAAGTTCATCAACGTTAGCGACAGGGTCATGCCATGATTGGAAATTGATGGCATTAGAGATGACAGGGTACGACAGTGGAGGAGCTTGCAGGTCTCCCGCGATGACAACCGGAATTTGGCCAAACTGTGCAACGAAAGTAAGAATGTCATCAAACAAAGAATTGTTCCACTCATGAACTTTAGTATCTTGTGAAGCACCTGTTTGTGCATACACCGAAATGATCAGGGCTTGGCGATGTGGTGTAACTTAGCACCAAGCCACGGCAACCCTTCTAGTCTTGAACAATTTCGAAAAGAGACCAGTTTGGTCCTGCTTAGCACAACAGGGTTGAATCACAGAATCCGGTGCAGCAACGAGCGTGCCCCCACAAGGTGTTTGGGAGGACTTACCCTTATGCCAACAAAAGGGAAGGAGTTCACCGAGACAAGGAGTCCAACCTTTGGTCTGAAAATTCTTTGTTGCGGATCTGGCATTGTTCTTGCCAACGCGGGTTTCTTGCAAACAAACAACATCGGCATCCCACGTTTTCCACAGGGGATTTGTGGCAATAGAGCCAATGTTAGCAGAAACAAGACTCATTCGATTATTCATGTCAGGGCCCTCCCCAGGAAAACCAAGAGAGGCATCAAAGGCAAGGAGAAAAACAAGCCAAAATGGCCACTCCCCTAGCACCTTGCAAAAGCAGCTCACACTTTTTCTGGCGACAAAAAGTTCACGCTGGGAGGACCAGCATGATGGTGACTTCTGAACTATAGCTAATTGAGGGTGCAAGCCATCCCAACACCGAAGATGATGCTCGAAACAACGGAGGAGCAAAGACAAAGAAATCCACAACGAATCATGCGGCATCAGGCTCACAGGAGGGCACCAAAAATCCATTAACGGCCGAACTTGGGAGCGGACACATGTCGTTCCAGGCAAGAACCAAGTCCAGGCTGAACCCCAAAAGCATTCAACGAGAAGGAATGCGCAGAACCGGAGAAGCTCGGCAGACAGCACCCAAGAAGACACAGGACAACGGAAAACGAAGAGCCAAAGCACAAAGAGAACCCACACGAACCGAATCAAGGGCAGTTGGAGGCTGATGCCTGCCTCATTCTGTCACGACGATTTAAGCAGCTTTGACGGGGGAGTTTCCCCGGTGGGCTCACGTGGGCGCTGCACAGCGTGTGCGAGCAGCTGGCGAAGGGAGTCCTGAATATCCCCAAACCGTGTATCGCCTTTTGCCTCAAAACTTTGTTGCTTGGCTTAAAGCTTTTCAAAGCGTTGCTCAAGACGATCGATGCGTTGGTCATCAGACTTGGTAGATGGCGGCGACGAAGCAGCCAAAGTCCAAGTGGCTGGTGCTTGCGGCTTGGGTTTCTGCTTCCCTTTCTGAGTGCCTTTGCCAGCTCTCGGAGGATGTGGGTTTGCAACTTCTTGGACAAGAATTTCCGAAATCTCCGCATTGATTTGAACGGAGAATGAGCTCTGGGATGGCTTCGAATCGGTCGTAACGACCCAGACATGCACCCCCCCTACACGAAAAGTGCGAAGGGGAATGACGGCAAGTTTGAGAGCTTGCAGAGTCGAAGACACCACATGTTCTGCCGCAGTGGCGGCAGGCCACCCAGCCAACTCAATGGTGTGACGAGGCACGACGTGGATGTTGTCCTTAGTGAGCCGCGAGTCTGCCGAAAGCAAATGGCTCCGAGCTGCAGATATGTGGACAATCCAGATGCGTGGGGCCAAACCCCTCTTGGTCATCACGACCCCAGCGAATCCTTGAACCCCTTTGACAGCAATCTTCATGTTCTGGTGTTCCGAAATGGATGGAAGCCAAAAGCGAGGCAACACAGTGGTGTCGGAACTACCTTTGCCCTTTTCCAGGAAGTCACGTGTGAGTAATGACCCCCTCCCACTTGCCTCGAGAATCTTGGAGCGCTGAGCAAATGGAATCTTTGCAATCATCTGAAGCATTTGGTCTGGCTGATTTCCCCCGGGATAACGAATCTGGCGGAAGCCGTACAAAACAGCCTGTTCGGCTGTCGGCTCATCAACTTCAGCAAGCATAGCTTTGAAGGCACTCACAGGATTGTCCCTGATTCTCTCGAAATCTTGCCGAGACACTAACCTGCAATCAATCTCGAGCACCAATTCACAAATTGCTGGTGTGGTGAGCTTCACGACTGGCTCAGGCAATTGGAATGTGATTTTGCCTTTGATGACAATCATGTGAATGAGCCTCTTGTACGAAAGATTCGCGAGCGGATCGTTGAGAGCAATCTCGAAAGGTCCTTCAAGACGATCAGCTACATGCTTCAGGTGACTGTTCTCACCAGCTAGAATAGCGACATGGTCACCTTGCACTGGACTCTTGAGCACCTCGGCAATGTTGCTTTTGGTTGTCAAAACAGCTCCGCCCCTGGTGGCAGTGAGCTGCAGACGGTGAGTTTGCAGCAGTGGTTTCTTGTCAGCGCCAATGAAGGGCGAGGGAGTTCGAAGCTGGAGATCTTCCCATTTGGATTGCTGTGGCTTGGCAGCCTTGGCCTTCCACGGGTCCCATGAAGTCCATGGATCATTGGCATCCTTGCTTGGCCCTTTGGGAGCTGTCGAGCTCTGGGAACCTTTGGGACGCTTGTTGTGGTCCTCAGGCATGGGCTCATCACCGTCATGCATCCCTGCAGCAACATAGCGATTTGGAAAGCGATTCTCAAGAACCCTGATGAGGAACCAATTGCGAGTGGCATTTGCAAAGGAGCGCAAGGCATCCGAGGCCTGTGTTTGTTCCCACAACTGGGCAGCTTCATCTTGGATGACTGCAGCTGCAAAGTCTGAGTTGGATTCAGAGCAATTTGGTCAGCTTCCAGACGGCGAAAAAGCTGTCGAAGCAAATGATAGCCACACATGTGTGTTGGAGCAACCTGATCGAGGAAGGTGAACTGTAGTGTCGATCTGTCAACCTCTGTGATGTGCACCAAATGATCGAAAAGGGGCCGCAAGAGCTCCCTCATGTCAACTGGGACTGTGGCTCCAAAATTTGCTCCAGCAGTCGAGAAATAGGCTTCAACTGCAATCCAGTGATTGTTGACAACGATGTGCCAGATAACATGGCCGAAGGCTGCATACTCGGGGACAAGGTCGTTCAAGAAAGCCAAATTGCCAGTTTGTGTATTCCAAACAGCTGGGGCGCAGAAAAGCGTATTTGTACTCAAAGCCCTGGGGCCCTCCAATGTATAATCCATCTCATCGGTGGCAAGCCAGCCTCGGAACTGCTGGAAGTGTGCAAGGCGCTGTTGGATCCTCTGCTCACGTGTAAGAGTCGGCTCTGTAGCAACTTGGACAGTCCTCACAACCGGTGGCGGCGGATGTTCAACGTGGAGAGCAACTTGAGTATGCGGTCGTCCTTGCACATGACTGTGGGCCAGAATCAAAACGAAGTTCTTTCTGAGCCTAAAGGCCAGTTCACCAACACCACGATCAATGGATTCTTCTTGCCAATCCTCACGGGAACTGCGCAGAACATCATCCACAAGGTCAGAGACATTTGGTGGCAGTGGTAGTTGATCCGTGAGGTCCGCAATCGTCTGATGATGGCCGCCCCAAGAATACCACCGCATCATGAGATGCCATCCGCAAAGGTGTGGACGATAATACTCTGGCAACATGTGAATCTGAATACGATGCGGTGCAATGTCCAGAAATCTTGCAAGAATCATCGTGAGGCGGTCCCGAAAATCCGCATGGATTTGGATGAAGGTGATAGAAGTTTGGTCACCTCTCTTCGTGATCTCAACAGCCCCCCAGTGGGACCTGACCAAGATTGGTAGGACCGTGGTCGAATTGTTGTAGAAATTGGGCTCCCCGTGTCCAGCTTCATCGAAATCTTGCTTGGTAATGTCCCAAAGGACGGGTGGAGAGAACTTCATGTCTGAACCAGACCACATAAGGGACTGAGTGTAGTAAAACATTTCATCCGAAGCCATCCACCCGTGGGTGTTGACCATGAACTCCATCCGTGCATCAAAGGTGGAGCCTGCATCCAGCGAGGGAGAAGGTCCAATTATATACATAATCAAATCAATTGAATTCAATTGATCTTATCAGAATCTCCCTCGGGGATCTTCCCATGGTTCCCCGAAAGGAAGCCCTGCCACAGTGTCCCAGGTCAAATTCGCTGAGCCGTTCGTCGCTTCCCGTCGCTTCTCCTATCGAGATGCTGTTCAGGGAGATGCCCAGCAAGTCCAGCCCATAGCGAGTCCTGACACATCCGTGGATCCGAAGAAGCGCAACCCGTCCAATGAGTGTCGAGAGTTGGATGAAATCCATTGTAGGGGGTGTATAAGTCTTCACTATATGATTGGCATCACCTGACAAGTCAGGAGTTACAAACATGTGCGCTTCTTAATCCCAGGGGCCCCTCACATCCTTCCACCATATGTCGAAACAATGTCCAACAAAAAGGGAAGCAACGAGACATCGTCCTTGTGTTCCAGAAGAAATTCAGACTTCCAAACCTTCAGATGCAACTACCAAAGGGCAGGAGAACGAGCAAAAACTGGATTCTGCTCCAACCGACTCGCTGACTCGCCCAGGCGCCAAATGAGAGGATTCGCATCCAGGCCCAAGAGCGCTGCCTGGAGGTTCCGTGACCAGAGGAGGTTCCAGTCCCAAAAAGCCCGGCACGCTGGGTGCGGGAAGCCATGAAGTCCGTAAGCTCGTGCCAGCCAACATCTGCAGGTGTCGTACTTGGCATTTCTTGATGTTCTGGGAAGAATGGAAAAGAAGTATACAGTAGTTACTAGTCTAATAGGCACTATACAGAAGTGGTCTACCTTTCAGAACAGTCTGACAAACATCTGGGGTTGGTTCCAACATGTTCCAACTGGCAGACCTAACTACCGGGGG